AGGGTGACTTTGGGCCAGTCACAGACTCTCAGCCCAACCTACCTCACAGGGTTGTTGTTGTGGGGATAAAATGGAGGAGGAGATGTAAGCTGCCTTGAGCCCTTTGTAGGAAAAAGGCAGGATATAAAGCGAAAAGTAAAAAAAAAAAGTAAAATAAATATACTTTACGCAAAATGGAACCAGTGTGACGTAGTGGCTAGTGTGTTGGACTGGGGATCTGGAGGCTCCAGGTTCTAGTCCCCACCCAGCTATGGAGCTCACTGCGTCACTTTTGGCCAGTCACAGACTCTCAGTCTAAGCTACTTCACAGGGTTGTTTTTGTGTGGATCAAATGGAGATGAGGAGGATTATGTTAGCCATCTTGCGTCCCTTGAAGGGGAAAAAGGTGGTATATAAATATAATAGGCAAACAAACAAAATAATCATTTGTGAAATTACTTTAAGCAGATGTATTTGAACATACACGTGTTTATTAATTTCAAGTAAATGTGAATTTATATTTTTAAAAAACTGCTGAGCGGGAGGAGGAGGTTCAATCCAGGTTTTTTTTTAAATACTTATATTTATTTAATACTTACATACTTGTAAGCCGTCCTGAGATGCCATGCATAGCAGACAGCATATAAAAGTTTTAAATAAATAAATTTGTAATTCAGAATTAGCTCAGATTAGCATACATAAGTTGCTTGGATACTCTTTCTTCACAGACAATTGAAAAAGTGATGGACTGCAGGAGGAATCTTTTCTCATGTCTTTGCTGTATTTTGTATATATTTATAACTAGATATAACTACCTACCTACTCCACTGCATAGGTATATGAAGTATAGGTATATATATACCTATACTTCATATACCGCATAGGTATATGCGGTAAAAGTTATTCATTAAAGTTAAGGTTAAAGTTAGGTTAAACAGGTTAAAGTTCTTGGTTAAAGAACTTAAATAGGTTAAAGTTCTTGTAAATGCAAGAATAACTACCTACTCCACCACATGTGTATACTTCATATACCGCATAGGTATATGAACTATACACATGTATACACCACATGAAGTATACACATGTGGTGGAGTAGGTAGTTATATTTGCATTTACAAGAACTTTAACTGAGAGAGTTGTTCTGTCTCTGTGTTCTTGCAGAAATCATGCATATTGTCATGTTGCAGTAGTCAGTTAGACCTTTGTTTATCAACGCTGGAAAAGGAAAATCATAGAAGTTTGCCATAAAGTATGTTATGAAATAACATATGAAATATGTTGGAAATATAGTAATATTTTTGGCATATATTCTGTCAATGATTACCACAAACTAAAAGAGGAAGAAAATGTTATGAGAAACAGACAAAATGAAATGGTAACAAGCACATGAATCTCTTTTCTGCTTTACTGCATATTGCTCCCTTAGCATTTATATGACATACTCTATATACTTAGTGCAGAACCAGAAAATATATATGACTTTACCTTTTACACTTGTTTACCATCATATAGGTTAGCTTACTTCTGTAAGAGTCATGACCATGAAGTAGGATGATTTATGTATTCTGCTTTCATAATGTTATTATTAATTCATAAGTAGAGGAAGCTCACTAACACAATGGTACTTGGGTGAGTCACAATAAATAAGGCAACAAGTATGATTCAATACAACAAACTCTGAGCCAGATAGTTACTGTCATGGCTCTGTATCAGTTCTGTATAGAACATCAGAAAAAGAGCTGCAGAAAAATAAATTAAATGGCATCCATTAAGGAAAATTTTAAAAGCAAAAATCAGAATTAACTAATGCAGCTTCATTTTTACTAAGCATATGCATAAGTTGATATCAACTGTGTGTGCGAATAGCCAATAGCAATACTACTGTTTTTAATTATGATGTTCCAGTTATTTAGGCTCCAATAACCCAACTGACTATAGAGAGATTGCATCTGAGTAAAAAAATAGAAAGTAAATATTTTCAGAATGTCAGAATGCTATCTGTGATACTGAGTTGTGTTCCACTAGCATTCAGGAGAGCATGCTCCATACTAAGTACTTATTTAATGAAGGTTAAATCCAATGTCACATGAGCAAGCACCTGCTCGTTCAATGGGATTTACCCTTGCTCTGCTTCCCCCTACAGCACCTCATGCAGTCTCCCATCTGCTCCAAGTCCTCCAATCCCCTTTCTGCGGGCAGAGAGCCAGTTTTGGATTCAACTGTAATGCACCAAGTCTGTATTCGGTTTACAGCACATTTTCTTATGGCTTGCATTCTTTTAATTGAGTTCTAAATCCAGCTTTGGATATATTAAATAATAGACTTCTTATTCTTACCATCAACACAGGAAAAATCAAAACACAACTAGTATGTTCTGAAATATGCATATATGAACATTACTTGTTTTGATATTTTAGGGCTAGCCAGGTGTAATGAGTTTTGGGAATGTTACTCATATGAAAAAATATTTCTCAACATGGCTATTTACAATTTATTGCATGCATTAATGGGTTAAATGCTATTCAAAGCTTTGCAGTGCTTTTGCATTACAGCACAAATACATTTCCTCAGAAGTAGATATCATTGAGCACACCAGGACAGATTTTCTAGGGACTGTGTATATATTGCAGTGTTACATCCCATTCCTATGCATGTTTATCTGGATGTAAATTCCATGGAGTTTATTGAGATTTACCTCCAAATAGGTGTGCACATAATTACAGCTATAAAGAACTACCCTACATATGATCAGTCGGATGTCCCAATTCAACAGCAGCGACCTCCAAGTAAAAATCTGCATGGGAACTGACTACAGCACAAACCTGTTCATGACTGTCTGGAAGAAATCACCACTGTTTTCAATGGCATTTACTTCTAGAAACTGTAGCATACTAAGGAGTAAGTCACATTGGACACAGTGAGTCTTATCCTTTGAGAAAATATACACAGGATTGTGAGGCTACCATAACTTTCTTCCCTTCTTTCCCTTTAAAAAAAATCCATTACAGCTAACACATAGTTAACATATAATCTTTTTGTAATGACTCTAAGTTAAATCCTTCCTACAATTTTGTTAGCTATGAGTGATTTAAAATTACTGACTAACTTTTACACTTTGATACATGAAAATAAGTCCTTGCAATACAATAGTTGTGAGCCCAAATAGGTGTGTGCCAGCTTTACATATTCACCAAAACTACCGATCTCCTCTTTTAAACTTGCTTTAGTGCCAGATACTATTTAAGTGCACAATCTTTCGTATATGCAATTTCATATATGCACTGGACTATGACTAGTGTTTTTAGAAGCTGTATTCTATCACACACCACTGAAAGATACCAGTGCTGAAATCTTCTGTTTACATTGTTGAAAATACATTTCACTGAACTTCACAGGACTTACTTCTGGGTATGCAGGATGACGGTACATACCATTCTTCAAGATTAGTAGCCTATCAATAGTTTACAAAGAAAGCATCCTACCTCTAATCCTGAAAAAATAAGTAGGCACTGAAAAGAAATCCTTAATATAATATGTAAGAATAACTGCGCGCGCGCGCACACACACACACACACACCATTCATAAAAGGCACCAAGATCCAGCAGATGCTCCTCATTAGAGGAAGGGGGAAGAAAGAAATATTTGGGTTTCTCCTTTCCTTGAGACCCCCAAGAAATGCCTTTCATGTTCTGGAGTTTCCTTAACCAACTAGAGCAGCTTTTTTTAGGCATTCTTTATGAGGAAGATCACCTCCCTGCTGTCTCTACGACATAAAAAACTCTGCTAAGCTCCACTCTGGATCACTACTCCACTGATTACATTTCTTCTTTCTCTTTTTACAATTTAATATCTGCAAAAATGTTCATGAAAAGCAAAACCACTGATACTACTACATAACTAAAAAGTTGCAAATTCATACATTTGTAGAGGTGAAAGCTTAAGCCAAGAAAATGGGAGAAGCATCACTTCCTGTGCCTGATGCTCACTTCCTATGCCTGATGTCAATTGCACAATTGAGAAATATGATCTACTGCCATAAGAACACTCTGAATTAAATGATTTGCTATTATTAAGAGCAAGAATTTTAAAGCCAGGACAAACAAACCAAGACAACAGTGTGTGTGTGTGCGGGGTCATATCTGATTTAACAAGGTAATGAGAAAAGAGCAACACCAAACAGTGATGTCACCACATGCAGAAACAAAGGAAGCTGCGCAAGGTGAAAAACTAGAAAGCTTTCTGTGGCCAAACTGGGAAAAAATCTTATCTATAATCATTACTTCAAAATGTTTATAATTACTACATTAAGTCTACACAAACACTGTCATTAATAAAGTGCAATCCTGAACACATTTACTGGAAGTAAACTTTATGGAAATTAAGATCTCCCTTCCAAGTTGAGGATGGTCAGAATTTGTGTTCTGATTCTGTCTGTTTTCAATCTGTATTTTGTTCGAGCTAACTTGTGCATGGTGTTTTTCTATACCTCTTTCTTTTAAAAGTGAAACTCAGTGTATGGAAACATAAACACACTTGCAAAGACAAAAGAAGAAAGGAAGCAAATGCTTCAGTTGAGAGGAAAGCTTGGCCAGTTGTCAAATTTCAAACCCCAAGAGCAGAATAAAGCACTTGGAGAAAGAGATGAGGAGCGAGGCCCCTAATTTTCGACACTTTATTCATGCATGAAGTAGAAACATTTCGGTTAATATCTGCCCCAAGCTGTAATGAAAGTGAAAGAAATCAAGAGGGGCTTTTATCAAACGAAAAAAAAAATCAGCCAATGGAGAATTTGCATCTTCACAAATATGGGCACACCAAGCAAGCCGGGAAGGGTCTCCCCTCCCACCCCCCGCTCTTGCATTCTTTCCTTTGGGTCAGCTTGTCTGTTTAGCTCACGTACACACAGCAGTTTTCACGACCACCTGCACCTTCTCCCACTGCTGTTTTCCTCTCTCGCCTTTCCCTCTCTCTATTCGTCTCCTCCTTCCAGAACCTCCCCCGACCCGATTTTCAGCAGTACCTGATATGGCGGCGGAGGCTCCTGATCCGGCTCAGTCCCATCCCCGTAGCTGGCTCTGTCCGACTGGGACTCGTGCAGCAGGGAAATGTCATCCGAGGTGGGAGATTTCAGGCAGTTCCCCATCTTCCCCAAAGGGAAGTGGGGTGTCTTCTCCTCCTCCTCAGAGACACAACGCCAGCCCCGGGCGACAGCGGCTGCTTTCCTTCGGCCTCCCGTGGGCAGCAGCACAAGCAGGAGCCCGGCGCAGGAAGTTCATGCCAGCTCCCTACCCTGCATAAGAGGCTTAGCCCCTAGTCGGCTTGCCCCAGGGACCCGCCGCCTCTCTTTCTTTCCCTCAGAAGCTCCACACGCGGGGAGACGGCGCCCGGAGGGCAGGCGAAAGGAGCTTTTCAGCCCTCTGCCGCCATCAGGGCCTCGGCCAGGGTGCTTGCTCAGAGCACTGCCGGGGAAGCGGGAAGCAACGTCCAGGTATACACAAGAGCCCGTCTCCTCCCTCAGCCCCGAGCTCTGTTCTTCTTCCTGGTCACCCGCCTTCTGCGCACTGAGCTGTGTCAGACAGGCCCTCTCGCTGGCTCCTCCTTCCTCTTCTCCGCTTGCACCGCTGCCAGCCTGGAGTGCAGGCCCGACCTCGCTAGCTGCATGCTCGCCTCGCCCCCCCGCCCCCCCGGCACCCCGCGAGCTGCGCCTCTGCAGCCAGCTCCTCTTCGCGGTGTAAAGGATGCGCTTCCCGCCACTAGCCTCCCCCCCGCCCGCGCCCATATATTATATGGCTGCCATATAAAGTTGCCGCCGGATTAACATTCACATGAAGAAAAGGAGATCACGGCAGACCTGCGCTTGCCTTTTGGAGGTGTATATGTTGCCTCTGCTAATATAAGAATCTGGCAACTTTTTCTGTAAGATCAATATGCCAATTAGGCCGTAAACAGTAACATTTAGACCGATCCTAGCTTTGTCAATGCAGAGATTACTTTCATTTCAAAAGACTTCCAGTTAAGTAAGTTTAAGTTTGTGGCCTCAATATACAGGATGATGATACTTCTGTCTGGCAGCTGGCACTCAGGGTTAGTAATACTAATATTAGTAACCCTGATTGAACTTAACTCCCAGGTAATCAGCACAATGAGTTTACTTCTGATTTAGTATGCATAGGAATGCAGTGTTAAAGTCATAAAAAGGTGCATTTCTCCCGATAGTCATTGGGATGAATAGTCTAATCCAAGTTACTGAAGGTACATAAAGTATAAAACCAACAGATTATCATTATTTTGTGCTAAATCAAAACAAAATAGTGTTTTTGCCCCAAAGCACACGAACCTACTTGAAAAAAAGTTATATGAAAAATAAGAACACTTGATGGTGGCATTCTCAGGATTTGCCTTCAATCTTTTACAAAAAAAAAACCTGACCTGAAAAGATTATCTGCAGTCTAATAGTGTGTGCATTTGAAGCATGTTGAACATAACTAGTGGCTCCTTATCTGAGGAAGACATCTGTGATTCATGAAGGGAATCACTGAGACAAAAAAAAAAAAATGCAAAAGAAAGTACTGAATAAATAGCAAAGATCAAGCCATCTGAAATTACCAGATGGTGATTATCTCATACTAGTACAGTTGGACAGCAGCACCAGATTTCACTGTATGCTAAAGGATGTGGACTGGTGTACTATAATGGCTAAAAGCAAACCATGAACCTGAATGCCATCAAATCACAGGCCTTTGTGGGCTTGAATTTTAATCAAGACAGTGTTCTCTTAGTCCATCTGCAATATGATGATACTAAAAATCATATTAGCTGTAAGGATTATTGATAATATAGGTGAAATGTCATACATAGCTAAAACAGTTAAAGCACTTTTCTTAAATGCTACTTAATGTATACCTCTATAAACTGCATGCTTCAGTTGTTCAAACAGACAACATAGCTAAAGAAAAAATTCAGTTTGTTGCAAGGTTTTGAAACTGAGTATATGCCACAAAAATACAGTATTTGAATATTATTGTAGTCCTTGACTATTAATGTTTTATAAAACTGAATTGAAGACCCAAAGAGAAATCCATACCGTATCTTAAATACAGAGATCACCACCATCTTACACCCAAATTAAAATGGATTTTGAGAATGTTTAGTCAGATTTAATTTCTGAGAATGTTGCCCAGTATGTACACATTCTTAAAAACAAACAAACTGTTGAGACACATTCCTACCATCTTTTTTTTTTTGTTTGTTATAAAACTCAACTTGTCATTGTTTCATGAATTTGCTGTTTGAGGAAAAATTAGAGTCATCAACATTTGTGAGATTAGTTAAAACTATTCAATGAGATATAGAGATACTATCATGGATTTTGTACTACAGAAATATGGGTCAATGATTGGGCTGCACGTATTACTTTACTAGAATGACGGGAAGGTCTTATTTCATTTTCAGATTTTGACTTTGAAATTCTTGCTTCCTTTAGCTCTAGTAACACATCACTAGAGGTACAGCGCTCTGGATTATTACATGAGTATTGATCTGGCTGATTTACAGGGACCCCTTCTTTTTCTTTGGGAGTAATGCTGATTACATTTGAGTGTCCATTTTCCACGATGATTTCTGCCGATGAAAGTTCTGAAGAGGAAATGTCACATGCATCTTCACAGAATGATTCTATACTTGCACTGGATTGAGATGAAAACACGTACGGTCTGGATTTGACAGTGAAACGTCTAGGTGACCTTTTTGAACTGACTTCTGTATCAGAGCTGCAATACATTTCTTTTATAGAAACAAAATCAGATGCCTTTTTGGAACCAGCTCCAGCAGCTGTAACAGAAGGTTGGTATTGTTTATTAGAAGTGCTTGGCTTATCATGTAAGCATGTATTACATTTATACTAAATAGAGTTAAAATAATGCTAGTGTCATAGATGTATGCAGACTATTTCAAAACATATATGCTATTGATTTAATGTATAGAATAATTTATATCCCCTATCTTTGGCTCTGAAAAGAACCCCCAAATTGACTAGCTAGCAAACATGATTTTATCAAAGTATATCAATAAATAAAACAACAAACTTAATTCAGACATTCAGCAGCAACATATCAGAACAACATGGCTTAGATTTAAGGTATTTATTTATTTGTTTGTTTGTTTAGGGAACTTCTATGCCGCCCCATTCACTGAAGCCTCGGGGTGGCTCATAATCATAAATAACATAATATAAAACAATATAATTTAACAGTATAAATTAAGTCTTATCTAAGGTATCTTAGGGATGCCATTCTCCTATCAACCTGCCTGATGCCTAGGATTTGGAAGAGAGGGTCTTCCCTTTCTCCAGCCTATGGTGGAAGCCCAAACTGTGAAACAACTTATCCCCTAAAGTTCAGTAAAAGTCCCAGTATTGCCTTTCACCATTTGGTAAAGATTTTCTAATTATTATTCTGGTAAGCATTTGCCTTATCATTCAGATAATGCTTTTATGTGATTCATTTTGCTTTTACCTGCTGAGCCTGTCTCTATTTTGTGTTGGTTGTATTACTGTAATATGTAATTGTTGCAAGTCAACTTTCAAAATATTTTACATTAGATATAAATACTTGAAAAATAAATGAAACTGTAGCAAAGAACCATAACTCTGCAGTGTTAGTTCAACAGGTGATTTGTGACTCACAACTGGGTTACATCCTAAACAAAGGTAGATTGCACTAGTAGCATCACCACTTGGCTTTTATGAAACAAAGAAATAGGAGGAATGAGTCTTTTTATGCTTGTGTTGAGAGAGGGTGAGAGGGAGAAGGGAAAAGCCAGGTAGCCTAAAATTGTAATAGTAGATTCTAGATTGCAAGTTGGGTTGGAGGTGGGACTATTGAAAACTGCCTCATGTACATTAACGTGATGATGAGTAAGCATTTCAAAAGTTCCTGCAAAGTGCTTGATAACAGAACACAAGTCTCAGTGCTACTAAAACTACTCAAAATATTTAAAATTGAAGTATTCTTTTGACTACATTTATAGGATATTTTAACAAAGCACTTTCACACATTAATAATGCCTACTGGTAAGTTATATTGTCGCAATATAGATATGGTGGAAACAAAAACAAATCCTGTTTGCACTATTTGTATCTGCAAGATAATTCGAAGATTTCACTTCTTCAAACAAACTCTGGCATCCAGACAGAGTAATTTGTTTATGGTTAGTGAAACTGAGCCAGGATCAAGGTGTGATTTCAGGTCCTGATTTGTTCTAAAAGCTTTGTTTAAACAACCTACGGTGCCATTGGAACTGTTCTACTAACTCTGTTAAGTCCTTCTGTTAATTTAAAATCAGAAGGGGATGCTTCCTGGAGATATATTCTGCTTTGGCAAGCAAAAGAGGAGAGGAGAGTGAAGAGTACTTCCTATAGCTGAACTGGACCATACTTTACAAGGATAACAAGAAGTAAATCAAAATACCAATGTTGGAAGTTCTTGCTAGAGTAAAAGGACATTTGATATTGAACTAATAGAAGTCATGTTCTACATTTTAATTATGAGGCATATATTCTTATCCAAGTTCTCACACACTTCTGAACAACACAAGTTTGTTAATATTTTAATTATGATGTTTCTACTAACTAATGCAGCAGTAAAGGAAATTGGATGGTGTGGATACTGATAGCTCACCCGATATTTCATGGAAGGTGATATTTTATTTCTTTCTGCACATAATTTTTATGTGAAAAGAGGAAGATTAGCAGCTTTTCATAAGGAAATCTGCGTACTATAAACCCGGCTGTTTAAACATTATTGTCTGTGGGTAACAGCCCCTTCTTGTGGACAGTCATTGCCTGAACACCAAGCATCTGTGAGCATTGATGGAAGAGTAATGTCTAGTTACCAGTGCAGTGGGAAAGCTAAAGGAAAGGGAGGTATGTTTAACTGCTAATAATTAATATTTTACAGAGACATCAATTCTTAAGAGTATTCTTTTTTATAAGCAAAATATATAGGAACTGGAATACAACTGGGACACAGAAAGGTATCTAGCTTGCATACTAATGTAAGTGGAAGGCATTTCATTTTGCAGAGGGAGGGAGGGAGAGAAGACTCTGATTTACATGGACATTCTATAGTACATTTAATGCTGTTCTGGAATATCTGCTGTTCAAAGTCTTATGAAACAGGGATGCTAAGGAACTAGGAAAGAAAATGAGAAAGCTGCTTCCTGAGTTAATCCCTGCCCATAGTTGTTAGGATCCAACCATTACTACAGTTACATTAAAGTATTTTGCAAAAGGTTGTGAAAGCTTTCTCTACATAGAAGTGCTTTTTCTGTGGCAAACAAGATATTATTTAAAGTTCTAGATCATGGAAAAACTTCAAAGGGTGCCTTTTATATAAGACTCTACGGCAGGTTAATCGATGTTTCGTGTGTTCCTTAACCTGGTGTGCTCCAGAAGTGTTGGACTGCAATTCCTATCACTGATCATGCAGGCTGGGAATAATGGGAAAAACAGTCAAAAATATTTAGGGACACTAGATTGGAGGAGGCTGATCTAAATGATAGCCATGGAA